GGCCCTCATTTCCTCTTCTTTTAATCAAGGCTGAGGTAGGCTAGGGAAAGAAATATGGGCATGTCTAGTTTTCAGAAGGTTGTCAGCTTCCTTCCATATTTTGCAGTCTCTCTATACTCTTGACTTCCTTATTCCCTAGAGCAGTGTTTTCAACTTCAGCACTGCTGACATTTTGGGCCAGACAATTCTTTGTTCTGGGGGCTGCCCTGTGCATTGTAGGATGTTTAGCAGCATCCCTGGCCTCTACCCACTGGATGCCAGTATGTCAAGTTGTAACAACCCAAAGTGCCCCCAAGACATTGCCATATATCTTTGGTGGGGGAGTGAGGGGTCAAAATTGTCTTGATTGAGAACCACTGCCCTAGGGGAATAGACTAAATACAGCAAGTCCTTACTTAAATGTCATTAGGTTCTGCGACTTTAAATAAAATGATGTGTAATGAAACCAGTTTTACCATAGGCTAATAGATATAAACAAGGGTTAAGTTCCTACAGCATCTCATCAACAACAAAACAACATTATTTGAGGACCTGCTGTATTAATGATCCATGTAATTTACCAAAGATAGTTAGTTGCTAGAGAGGTGTTCCTTGTTGTCTTGCTTTCCATCTTACTACATAATCCAGACCCTGATACCCCTTTCCTGGTAATAGCTTCAGCCTTGCTCAGGAGCTTGTCCTGGTCTCTTCTGTTCCAGTCCCTGCTACACAGTTTAAATACAGATGTGATCATGGTACTGCCTTACTCTGGGACCCTTTCTCTCACCCTTGGATATAGAATAACGATATGAACCACTAGTACGAATTGATCACAGTGCTGAGTGTTTTATAGCTATCAAATAATTTAATTTTTACAAGAACTTTGTAAAGTCAGTTCCCCTGTTACTCTGTTTTTAGACAAGAAAGAAACTGAGTGTAGAGAGGGTAAGCAGCTTATCCAAGGTGCCATAGTTAGTAGATGGTAAAGCTTAAACTCAGCTCTGTTGACTCCAAGTGTCTCTATTAGGATGGCGTGGGCCTCCTGTGTGCATTTTGGCTCTTTCTACCCTTTTGTCCCAGCCCTCCCCACCTCATTCTTCAGTCACAAAGGTCCACTTGCCTTCCCTCGGTTAACCTTGTACTTTCTCAAGGATGACCCTTACACTTTCACTTCCATTTTCTGCCCATGGAAATCTTGATTCTCTTTTTTATTATTCTACTCAAATATCACTATTAAAGTGATATTCCACTTTCCCAGTTGAAGTTTTTTATTCTACTAGAATTTTATTTTTCATTTTTGGCATTTCCCTTACCATGTTTTCTAATGTTTGTGTTTATTTCCATCTTCCTATTAGATTGTAAGCTCCTGGAAGACAAGGACTATTTTGTCTTTATAATCCACAGGCCCAATGCCTTGTACTTAGCAAACANTAGGAGAAAAAGTATTATATTAATCTAAGCTAATAGTTACATTTTTTAAAACACATGAATAGATGTAGGGATTACTACAAACTATGCTTTCAAAAAACAAAGTTATTTGAATTTTTTTTTGCACAATATACAACACAAAAGTAACATCAGGATTATTAAGCAAAGTCAAGCCTGGATGAAGGCAAAACATATACATTGATTTCAGGACACTGGTCAGTATTGCATTAAAAAAAGGCCACATGCTTTTTTACATGCTGAAAGAATACATGTACCTATCAGCAGGAGAAAAAAGGACCCTCCATTCAGTAGCACTCCTACCACACAAAACTAAACTACGAAAATCCATTACCAGTAGGGAGTCATGGTAAATATTATGGTATTCTGAATAGAAAAAGCATTTTACCTTTTCACTTTAGCCTTTACTGAGTATGAAAAGAACACTGGCTGCAGTAAATAATGAGCTTCCTTTTTAAGTGTTTGTTTTGTCTTCCTGGAATCCTCTTCGCCTCTCTGCTTTCCTGACTCCTACTTATCCTTTAGGTCTCAGCTTAAATCCCACTTCCTTAAAGGTGCACCTTGCCTAAGACCCCCAGTGAAATAAGGTGCTCTTAGTATTATACTGTCATATCACTTTTTATCATTTGTAATTACCATGCTGTTTATGTGAATATGTATTTAATATGATCGAGTGTCCCACATCACACTGTAAGCCCCAATGAGATCAGTAGCCGTGTCTGTTTTAGTCACTGCTCTA